TATTTTTCCACGACTCATCAAAACCAGCCTCACGCCGTTTCCGTGTTTCTACACGCTTCCGTTTCTGTGCTAGCGGTGATTGTACGTTTTAGCCGGGCAGCATCACCCATTTTTCCTTTACATGTTTAGTCGTATAGATCTCGGTGTTTGCAACTTGAGTGACAATTTGTTCCCCATTGACAGCGTCTGTACTTAACACGTGTTTAACAAGGGGACTGTTTAATTTGTCCCGGCAAGTTCAAACCGCCGTGGCGTAGACTGTGATAATTTATGCAGTGCTACGTGTGAGCGGGTCAAATGGATGTAAACAATGCATCCTATTAGCATGGCGGTGAAGTTGTAAGCATGGCGGTCCGAGCCCAAGCGTGGCGGCCAGGTCGCCAAGCATGGCGGTACCGCCATGCTTTGTTCTATGTGGGGAGAACACTGCTAATTTGAATGATAATTAACTGATTTCAAGCTGTTCCATGACTGTTCCAGTCATATTTGAAGAACCACTCATTGGATTTTGATGAAACTTGGCACATGGATGCTCTGAACCAATACGCAGATTTGATTAGTTTTGGGTAAAAATCTATGAATATTAATTACCTAATTTGCATGATAATTAGCTGATTTTTAGCTGTTCCAAGACTGTTCCACTGATATCTGAAGAACCACTCATTGGATTTTGATGAAACTTGGCACATGGATGCTCTGAACAAGTGCGCAGATTTGATTAGTTTTGGGTAAAAATCTATGAATATTAATTACCTAATTTGAATGATAATTAACTGATTTCAAGCTGTTCCATGACTGAACCACTCATTGGATTTTGATGAAACTTGGCACATGGATGCTCTGAACAAGTGCGCAGATTTGATTAGTTTTGGGTAAAAATCTATGAATATTAATTACCTAATTTGAATGATAATTAACTGATTTCAAGCTGTTCCATGACTGTTTCACTGATTTTTGAAGAAGCACTCATTGGATTTCAATGAAACTTGGTGCATGGATGCTCTGAACTAATGCGCAGATTTGATTATTTTTGGGTAAAAATCTGTTAATATTATTAATTACCTAATTTACATAATGATTAATCAATTTTTGGCTTTTCCACTGCTATCTCAAGTACTAATCATAACATGTCAATAAAACTTGGTACATAGATGTCATATGACACTGCACAGACCTGATAGTTTTTATGGTAATATCAGTACATATTAATTACCTAATTTGCATAATTAATTAATTTTCAGCTTTTGATATTTCAAGTAGTAATGATCATGTTTCAATGAAACTTGGTACATAGTTACTTGAGGACTGTGCAGAGACCTAATTAGTTTTTGGGTAAATATTTGTGCATATTAATCACCTTATTAGCATAATTAGTTAATTTTCAGCTTTTCACCTGATATCTCAAGTACTAATCATCACATTTCATTGAGACTTGTTACATAGATATTCTAGGACTGCAGAGACCTGATTAATTTTGGGATAAATAATTGTGCCTATTAATTACCTAATTTGCATAATTAGTTAATTTTTTGCTGTTCTATGGCTGTTGCACTGATGTCTAAAAGCCACTCATTGGATTTCAATGAAACTTTTAAAGAGTACCCA